ATAACCTCTCCGACGTCGATCCCTGAAAGAATGCTAATTAGAATCGCCGCCATCGCTACCCTGGATGGTAATCCATGGCTTAATCCGATCGGCCGCGACAACCGCCCGGAACCGCCTCACCCCCCTCTCGCACGTCTTCCACCTCGTAGAGATCGTTGGGCAACACGGTTCGGATTCGAAACGGCCCCTTATATTTCGGAAGCAGTTTCCGAGATGCGCCGGTGGCAGGTTCGCTGGTCAGCCGCACCAGCACTAGCTTTGCTACCGTATATCGGCGAGCGTCCCGCCTGCTGCGGTCATACCGCTCCTTCTGCGCCTGCTGGTCCTTGGTGATGTGCTGCGCCATGGTCCCCCGCAACTGGGCCAGATTCAAGCGATCTACCTCCTCTCGTACCGCACTCAGGATTCGATTCCCTGCCACGGTCCGCCCGTCGGATCCGATCAAGGCCCTCATTGGCGTTGTGGCAATGCCCTTGTCATGCATTGTGTTCAACGCACTTTGCACCTTCTTCACCTCGAGGTCCCAGTCTCTCGGGTCTTTACCTGCGGCGGTAGTGGCGAGCGCGTCGACCACCACCGTTTGCCCCGCAAACGCCCGCAGGAACGTACCTGCTACTTCCTCGGTCGCGATGTCGAACCGCTTAGCTACCGACGCGCGCATAACGGTACACGCGCTACCCGTGTCAACGAGGCTATTTACTCGGACCACCCTCCTGTGGGCTTCTTCGGCACTGCCTCGCGAAGTGCCCCGCCCCTCCGCACAGGTAACATCTGCCGTTTCTCGGAGCTGGACGGTCGCTGTTCCCCGCCCCGTCCTTACCTGCTGTCTTTGGTGCAGGCGGTCTTGGCCCCCTGGATGTGCTCGGCGCGGAACGATCCTTCGCTACCTGCACATATTTGTCATATATGCTCCCTAACAATTCATAAAATTTGGAGACAGAAACTTTATTAAATCCCATTGCCCGAGCTGCTGATATGGCTTCAGATTTTCGAATAGATAAATCGAGATGACGCTTTAAAAAACCCTTTAGCCAATCGATACTTGCCATTTGCTTATCTGTGTTAAAATTACATTTTTTTCTATTCTTTACGGCCAGTTGATAGGCCATTTTTCTTAAATCAGTAGTATTTAAACCAAACAAGCGCTTTTCCATATCTTTAAGATATCCCACCAGTTCTTCTTTTTCTATATGGGAAAATACAGTCTTGATTGGCCATAAAGATAATCCTATGGTTACTTCATCTTAATGCCTTAATCTTGTTATATAATGTTCCAACGTGGTCTGTGGGACGAAATATTCTTGAGCAGCTTTTTTGTAGACCATTTTCTTACTCAAAACTTTGCTCACAGCTTCTTTCATGTTTTCTGTAGACCATTCTCCTCTTCTAGTTTTTTTTTTTTTTTTATAAGTTCTAACCATTTTTCAAATCCGGGCTAAAAGTAACGAGATTTATTTGAATTAAATTATAACAGAGAACGCTGACGTTGCTTAACCTCATGTGAATAATCACGATGCAGGGAATAATGGGGTACCCCATCATTCCCTGTATCAAAGGCCCCATCTTGCCTCAAATCATCGTTTTTCAGAAAATAACATATTTGTACAACAAATAAAAAACGTACTCCGATCTCGAATATTTCACATTAAAATAGATGAAATGAAGATTACGATATAACATGTTAGAAATTGTTCCAATTCTTCTTACACCGAAGGTTCTCGGGTAAGTGCCGTGAGCCGTGCCTTTTGACACAGTCCTCTTCCCGGAGAGTCCCAAGACTCTCCCCACTTCGTGGCGAGATCCTTTTTTTCGAATCCTTATCTCTGTACGCGCTACGAAGCATCAGTGACGTCGGGCTACTGGCCCCGTGCACGCGTCCTCTTTATGTTCGGCAACAGGACGTCGGGTCCTTTGCCACTAGTTTCTACGTGGCCACCGAACTTATTCCCCAACGACAGGTTCTAAGGTTCCGCTCGTTGGCGATACGATATCCTTTTACAAGAGGCCTACGCCGCTAAATGCGTCGTCTCTGACGCGTGCGTTGTTCCGTCGCGCAGGTACGGAACGCATGGGGTCTTCGTTGACCGGGTTTATGGCACGCTCGCACGAGAAGGTTATTTTTGAGAACAAAGACGCTTCGTAGCTCCGCGAAAAAATAAGTAATTTCTTACAGAACAATGCCTTTAGAATTTCGACTTATCCGCGTCCTCAATAACCGAAGACGTGTCATAAACCAGGTATTACTGAAGGGTCAATCCACACGCGCGTATAACGGCACATTCGGCCGAGGGTTGACCTGGCGGGAATTTCCGACGCGTCACCGAAGGACAGCGAAGATTCCACGCACCCAC